CCTGTTTCCAATAGCATACTCACAACTAGTCAATCACTGTGGTAGTTTTAATGAGAAATGCTATTCTTGCTTCTCTGTAAATGGACTTTTCAACATTCCTCAATGTTACTAGCATTTTCCCTTTTTTCTCTCGGCAATTGGTCAAGTGGTTTAGGTCTACTCTTTCTTGTTCCAGTCATTTAAAGGCATTGGTCCTGTTATCATGTGCCACTGAAGAATTAAACTCCATAAAGTCCAGCACTGCTTCACAGGAAGGGAGAGGCCCAAGGATAGTGCTATTCTACCAAGTATGATAATGTATTTCCATCCTAGTAGCAAATACTGGCCACAGCTTAATGAAAACCAGACTTTACAAAGTGTATGAAAAAAGAAAGCTAGGAACATTCAACATAAAGAGGACATTAAAACAATAACAAAACAATTTAATTAAGTGGAAGGCTGCCTAAGACATATCTGTTTGTTCTTCTGGAAGTCCATCGAATAGATAGCACTTTTCTCCAACACCACAGCTCAAAGGCATCAGTTCTTCTGTTATCCTTATTCATTGTCCATCGTCCACATGCATAACAAGTGATTGAAAGATGGTTTGAATCAGGTGCATCTTAGTCTTCAAAAGAACATCATTTCTCCTCAGTACTTTGGAGATGTCTCTCTCAGCAGACTTACCAAATGCAATACATTTCTTGATCTCCTATGGACTGCTATTAACAAAGCTGTTCATTGTGGATCTAAGAAAGAAAAAAATTAACAATTTTAGTCTTTTCTCAATCTATCGTGTTATAGACTGGTCCAGTGGTGAGGATTTTTGTTTTCTTGACACTGAGATTCAGTCCATATTGATGGCCGTATTCTTTGATCTTCTGCAGAAAGCTGTTCGAGTCCTCCTCACTTTCAGCATGCAAGGTTGTGTCATCTATAACACAGATTTTTGACGAGCCTTACTCCAAAGCTGAGGTGACAGTTTACATCATAGAGTCCAGGGTCTCAAATGATTTGCTCAGCATACAGTTTGAATAGTTACAGAGAAATTATACAACTCTGATGCACACCTTTCCTGATTTTAAACCATGTAGTGTTTTCTTGTTTTGCTTGGATTATAGCTTCTTGTTCTAGATATGGGTTTTGTATGAGCATAATTAAGTGTTCTGAGAGCTTCATTTTTCTCAATAATTAGCCATAGTTTGTTATAATCCATAAAGGAAATATTTTTTCATAGTCAATAAAATACAAATAAACACAAATTTTCTGCTGTCAGTCAGGATTTATATGATAGCAACAATGATATCTCTGGTCCATGCCCTCTTCTAAACCCTGTTGAATCTCCTGACAGTTCTCTTTTCAACATGAACCTTTTAAGAGATGAACTTCTTTCTCTTATACAGAATCTATAATCAAACTAGGATCTGTGACTGTTGAGACACAGGCATCAGCAAAATATAAACAAAAAAGGAAGAAGAACATGGGGACTTCTAACATCTGATTGCAATTGATGGCAGTTACAAACTGTAAATTCGTCAAGAGTTACAAGGTAGACGACAAAGAAGAGAAGTTACAAGAAGACTACAAAGACTGTCTCTCCTTCACAGCATGCTCCACAAACCCAAAGAGACCAACATCAATCATCAATCACACGGATGCTATTCACTTTCATGATTATAGTTGATATAGAAGCATATAAATGAGAACTTGTTTGCCTATAAAAAACAAGTGTTAATTTGGCAATTGGAGCAATGGTAGACTCTACAACACTATAGTTCTGATTTACTAGTGGTTCAGTGGTATAGGTCTTCGCTTCTGTGTGGGAGACTTAGTTCATTCCTGTCATTACAACAGTTGTGTATGCACCAGACATTTACCACTGGAGGCTTGCATGATGCAATGATGGCTTCAACAGAACTTCCAGAGTAAGATAAACTAAGAAGAAAAGGTCGGCCATCTATTTCTGAAAATCATTCCATGAAAACCCTATGGATTACGATGGTGAGATTCCATGTTAGGTCAATGTGAAAAGAGGACAGCTTCAGCACAGCTAATGACAACAGTCTTCTGGGGATTATTTGTAATGGTAATACCCACAATTTGATCATAGACATTTACTCAAGGAACTACTTATGAGTCCAAGATTTTATGCAGAAAAATTTAAAAAGTCTAGGTGTGAGTACTCTCTGCTAAAACTGGCAGAGTAGTTGATGGTTTCGAACCTCAAGTTTTTGGGTTGGCAGCACAGCTCCTTATCCCTAGGCTGTCAACCTTGCAATTGGTATGACAGAAACCCCTCGTCATTTAAATGTATATATTTTTTTTTGGAGGTAAAACTTTATTTTTTTTTCTATAATTATATTTTATTAATTTTCATAAACATTTACAGAGACTTAGGGCTTCCACTCATTCATTGTTGCACTATTCTCTCTACCCTCCTCCCAGTTTGCTCTTGTCCAAATGCCACAGTGCTTGTCAAAGCCAGTTCTGATTAATCTTCTTTGTCAGTGTGTCCTTTGCCATTCCCTATCACTCCTCCCTGAGAGAGACTTCACCCTGAGTCATAAGGAAAAGGGGATGGCATATTCTCTTAGCTACTTCCTGCTGAAAAGGGACGCTGTGGGTTTCAGGGTGAAGATCTTCTCTCACTACTCTAAAGGGCCCCTTTGGCAGTAGGAAACACATAGACTATTATGGAGATTGATTTTGGAATTTAGATGCACTCTTATTGATTGTGCTTGGCTGTACATGTACATATCCTTGAAGATGTATCATGGGGGTGTTGCAACCTAGAAGACACAAATTTGACTAACAAGTTATAAGCACATGAGTCCAAAAATTATGGAAAAGTAAAAGAAAAGATTCCTTCATTGTTTTACAAACCCTCCCCCAGGTCCCCTCCACCATGTAGCCCTCGGTCTAGCCTGTGATGACAGAAATACCCAGTTATATCTCTCTTTTAAACGGTTCTCTCCCTCCTCTGTTTCAGTGCAGTATACATTATTGAACCCATCTTACTCAGTCTCTCCCCAACCCCAAGGTTAGTCCCATTCTACAACAGTGGCATCATGTAATATTTGTCCTTTTGTGACTGGGTTAAATGTATATATTAGGAAAGTGAGGTTTATAAAGATCCCAAAACTCTTTAATATATTAATTCAATGTAAAATTTAATTAAGCAACAATTTTACTGAATAAAAATTACTTCAGAACACAATTCAAGTCTATAAAACAATCATCAATTTTTCCTAGAACAGAATATGGGATGGTGAGTGAGAAAAAGATAGTAGTAGGTAAAACTTTTTTAGTATAGTTTCATTAAATTTGGGGGAAATAGAGTATAGAATTTATTTGGAATGTATTTTTCTATGTTATTATAAAAGTATTTTCAGTAGTTATTTTCAATATCAAGAGCTGATCTCAGTAATAACTACCTTCATTTTGCAATCAAACATGTCAATTAGTTACTTTTGCCCATAAATTTAAATTTATTTAGTGTGATAAACTCATATCAACTAGTATATAGCCATTTACCCAGTTAGAACATGATAAGTGCTATGGAAAAATGATATAGAAAGAGTTCACTTTGTAAAAATGTAGATTATTTCTTTATTGGCCATTTTATGAATAGCATTATTTCTACATAGGTAGACAAAGTCAAAACAATATAAAACAAAAACTGAAATCATTAATTTCATATAAGCTTCTTTTGAAATCTGCTTTTTTTAAACTCTGTTACCCCCACTTCCTACTCACTCTGTTGTCGTTGTTGTTATGTGCCATCGAGTCGCTTGCAACTCATAGCGACCCTATGTACAACAGCTCTCAACTCTGCCCTGTCCTGTGCCAATCTCACTGTCTCCGACACACTCATCCCAATTGCCCCAGTCACTAAATCAATCCATCTCAGAGGGCCTTCCACTCCTCTGCCTGCCCTCCACCCTCCTAAGCATGATGTCTTTCTTTAAGGACCGGTCTCACCTTACAACATGCCCAAAGTACGTCAGACGAAGTCTCAGAATCCTTTCCTCCAAGGAGCAGCCTGGTTTAACCCTCTCCAGGATGAATCTGTTTTCTTAGCAGTCCATGACACCCTCAGCACTCTTCTCCAACACCAAAGCTCAAAAGCATCAACTTTCCTTTTGTCCTCCCTGGTCATTGTCCAGCTCTCTGATGCATAACAAGTGATTGCAAAGACCATGGCCTGTACCAGACACACCTTAGTCTCCAGAGACACACCATTGCTCTTGAGTACTTTAGGGAGGTCCCAAACAGCAGACTTTCTCATCTCAATACGTCTTTTAATTTCCTGGCTGCTTGTGGCAAGAGTGTTGATTGTGGAGTCAAGCTGACTAAAGCTGTGTACAATCTCAATTTCTTCAACATCCATCCTGATGCTGCCAATTGGTCCGGTGGTAGTCAGCTCATTTATTATAGCTGTAACTTTGTTACTGGTTTTGTCATAATAGTGATCTCTCTAGAGGTATCCTTTTTGATGGACATCAAAAGAAGGATACTTATCAATGGTCCTTTATGAAATCTACTTCCATTCTTCTCTGACAGATGATTGCTGCGGAGTGATCAACAGGCTTCAAGGGAACTGTCAGCCACATGCAAAAAAGTGGCTAATCAGGATTTGTCTCTCAAGAAAATGATCAAGTGAATTAGAACTATAGCAGACAGGAGTGGATTCAGGTTAAAGGAGGGAGTTGTGAATCTCAGAAATACTTGTAGCTGAGTTTCTGAGAATAACCTTGCTTCTGCCTTCCTTGAGAACTGCTTGTGAATTTTTTTATTAGATTGACTTAGACCAATGCCTATTGGTGTCTTGTCAATTCCTGCACAAAATGATTCTGTAGGACAGAGTAGGACTGAATTGTAGCCTTTTCAAAGGTATAATCTGCATGGGAGCAGAGAATGGAGCATCTTTCTCCTGGAGAGCAACAGTGATTCCATTTGATGCACTTTTGAAGATCATGAAGTTTTCTGTTATATATACATATATATATAAAATGAATGTTTTAATTTTCATCAGAAACTACCAGCAATTTACTCCACAACTTCTTGATGGCAGTTTTTACCTCCTTATTCCTAAAAGTATAAATCAAAGGATTGAGTAGTGGAGTTAGAATGGTATAAAATATGGCCACCATCTTGTCAAATGAGAGAGCAGCTGGGGGTCGTGCATACACAAATATGCACGGGACAAAGAACAAAACCACGACAGCAATGTGAGACCCACAGGTGGAGAGAGCTTTCCTCCGGCCTTCAGAGCTGTGAGACCTGAGGGACCGCAAGATGACACAGTAGGAGACCAGCAAAAAGGAGAAGTTTATGATGCAGATAAACCCACTGTTAGCAACCACCAAAAAGCCAAAGATGTGAGTGTCAGTGCAGGCAAGTTTCAACAACGGGTACAAATCACACATGAAGTGATCTATGACATTGGGGCCACAGAAGGGCAGCTGGAATATAAAGAGAATTTGTATCATAGAATGCAAGAAACCTCCTGCCCAGGCTACTCCCATCAAAATGCCACAGAGCCTCCAGTTCATGATTGAGGAATAGTGCAAGGGCTTGCAAATAGCCACATAGCGGTCATAGGCCATGGCAGTGAGGACGATCACCTCCACTCCAGCAAAGAAGTGTTCAGCAAAGAGCTGGATCATGCAGCCTTCAAAGGTGATGGTTTTCCTCTCATAGAGGGAGTCCACGACCATCTTGGGCGCAATAACAGAGGCAAAGCATGCATCCAGAAATGATAGGAAAGCCAGAAAGAAGTACATGGGGGAGCCGAGGAGTGCCGGGCTGTTGCTGATGGTCACAACAATAAGCATATTGCCCCCAACAGTGGCTATGTAGCCAAACAAAAATACAACAAATACTATTTTCTGAACATTCGGATCCTGGGAAAGTCCCAAGAGGACAAATTCAGTTATGAAGCTTTGGTTTTGCATGGTTTGAGCAAACAGTGGAAAAGCTGCCACAGTGAACATGTAGAATCGGAACTTAGGAAAAAGAGATATTTTGCTCATATTAATTTATGGTATTAGCTTAATATTTCAAAAGCTTGTATATACATTAGCCTAGATATTTTACATATTTCTGCTGTAGTTCTGCACACAGAATTAGACAGTCGTTGAAGGAAGGAGTGAGAGATCAGACAGAATGTGATGAAATACATTTTAAAAATCTGAGTTTTAGTGGGGAAGAAAGAAAATATTCATATGTGAAAATGCTGGCAGTTTCTGTCCTAGATGCCATTTCTGAATAGTCAGCACTGCCTATGCAGAACAAGTTTTTAAGGAAAATTTGGAAGCATATCTAAGCTCTCAGGAAAGGGAGACGTAGTAATGTATTATTTATACATGCAACGGGTATGGCACAGGAACCACGCTAACTTACATGGAAAATTCATCTCTTATCAGAGACTGGCTTTCTTTAAATATGAGATCACATTTACGTTAAGGGCATATAAAATTCATTTTTATTACCACACCTTGTTGTTAATTATAGTCTATTCTCGCGTATTTCTTTTAAAGTCTCAAATTGAGAACTTAAGTGTCATTAATTCATTCCTTATAAAAAATAATAGTCTGTTTTAAAAAATGTCTAACACTATGCTTAGTAGATAACATGTTTCAGGTCATCAATATTTTATTAATGATTTTAAAACAAAAGCAGGAGCTGGTGAAATAATTATACTACTTCAGAGTGTTGTAACTGGTAGCCACACCAAAGCCAAATAATGCAAGGAAAGAAAGACTCAGTGTGTAGGGTCTCGGGTCCCATCTCCGTTAGCTATTATTATCCTTATTTTACTTGTAGATGTCTCACAAGAGAGTAAGGGTTAAAAAAAATAATAACAAAGAATAAAACTGAGGATTTTTGGCTCCAAAGTGAAAGTCTATTCAAGATGAACCATTTAAAAAAAAAAAAGCCAAGGATATTTCTTTTGCAGGGAGAACATCAAAGAAGGGAGAGCTTTCTCCTGCTTACATTCACCCACTCAAGGTTACCACCTTCATGATTCCCTTATTCATATGACACCTGAGGGAAAGAAATGGAGAAACTGTAAAATGCTTTATAATCCGAAGGTGTGGTTGCTAACACATACATATAAATCACAACACAAATATAACTTGTAGCAACCGTATAAGTAAGGAATAGAACATGTTTCCCTCTTAAGACTATAATTATCAATGAATTAATAATTGTACATCATAGGCAAATATGATCAATAGCAACTCTTCTACTTATGTCTACTTCAATATTACACAACTTTATTATAAAGAAGTTAATATATAACTTACTTGATCATCTCACATCTTAAGATTCAACTTTGGAAATGTGAACATATATTTTATGATTATGAACTGTTGTAAATTATGCTTCTTGTTATATTACTCAGTAAGCCAGGTGCTTTGCTCATAGAGGGCACTGCTATATACCAGCCAGATCATTACTACAACTTTTGACTTCATTTTATACTGGCAGACAGCTTTTAAAAGATGGTTATATCTTTGCCTGTACATATATAAGAAAGTTACTAGTTAACATAATTGTATGCTTATCAAAGTTGTAAATAAAATATTTATTTTGTTATTGTTATATGGAATTATATAGAATTGAGCCCTAGAGGCTTGGGGAGTAGGAAGTTGTGCTGCCAATCCAAAAGTGAGCCTTGTTCAAATCCACCAGTTGCTACAATGAAGAAAGAGGGGTAATCTCTTCTCACAGTTTTACTGTTTCTGGACACCCGGAGGGGGTTAGCTCTGAGTGAATTCTGACACTGTAACAAGGAGCAGGGATACAGATTTAACAAATAAAACATAGAGAAAATTACAATTGTGTAGATTGATAACTTGTTTCTTTGCTTTAAAGCAACCATTTCCTTATGTTTTGTGCTTGTTGATTTGTACCATTGAGTTGGAACTGACTCATAGCTGACCCTCCAGTGCTGCACAGAAGACAGCTCATAAGTTTTAGGAAATTAGAAATTGTGGCAGCACTATTAACTCTATGTCCAGGTACAAGGTGTCGTCCAGAAAACAAGAGTCTGCAACAGTTCAAAGGAACGCTGATGGCTTAGTGCATGGCAGTCACACACTAGCCCAAAGGCTGCTCATCTCTACTGATTTGAAACCCACCAGTGGTTCCAAAGGAGAAAAGTAGACAGTCTTCTTCCATTGTCTTGGAAACCTGGTGCTATGAGTTGGAATTCATTAGATGACAGGGAACTTGAGTTTTCTGAGTTTTAGCTCTATCATAAGTAGCTTCTTTATGTGAAGAAAATGAGATAGATTCCGTAGTAACCATTAATAGTCTCACTTCTCTATTGTGGAATTAAAGAGTAGCAATTTGTTTTTCTTTTCCTTTTTTCATTTTATTATTTTGTGTGTGTACCTTCAAATCAGATCTGACAGGTACAGGAGGGGATTGCTCCTCCTTCTCCAGCAGAGCATCTGGTGGATTCAAACAACCTATCTCTGGGATTGCAGTGCAGCTTCTTGTCACTAGAATTATATAACTGTCAAAGTTAATATTGCTTAATTGTAAGTAAACAGGCTGTCACTGTTTTTAGGTAAAAAAAAAAGTCCTCCAAATTAATTTTAAAATGCAGGCAACAGAGAATATTATGTTGTCCCTTTGATGATAATAACTTGTATGATCCTGAAATGATCCTGTTGTTGTTGTTGTTAATTGCCATCGAGTCACTTGCAACTCATAGCGACCCTATGTACAACATCCCTAAACTCTGCTGTGTCCTGTGCCAATCGCACCATCTCAGATACGCCCATCCCGATTACCCCAGTCACCGAGTCAATCCCCCTCACAAGGGGCCTTCCCCTTCTGTGCTGTCCCTCCACCCTACCAAGCATGATGTCCCTCTCCAAGGACCTGTTCCTCCTTGCAACATGTCCAAACTATGTTAGATGGAGCCTTAGAATCCTTGCCTCCAAGGAGCAGCCCGGTTTGACCCTTTCCAGGATGAATCTGGAATTTGTTTTCCTAGCAGTCCATGGTACCCTCAATACTCTCCTCCAGCACCACAGCTCAAAGTCATCAATTCTCCTTCTATCCTCCTTAGTCATTGTCCAACTCTCTGATGCATAACAAGTGATTTCAAAGACAATAGAGTGTATCAGACGCACCTTAGTCTCCAAAGAGACACCATTGCTCTTCAGCACGTTGGAGAGGTCCCTAACAGCAGACTTTCCCATGGCAATACGTCTTCTAATTTCCTGGCTGCTTGTGCCAAGAGTGTTGACTGTGGAGCCAAGCAAACCGAAGCTGTGACGAATCTCAATCTCTTCACCATCCATCCGTGCACCGTCAAATCAGATCTGACTGGTACAGGAGGAGATTACCCCTCCTTTTCCAGCAGAGCATCTGGTGGATTTGAACCACATACCTCTGGGATTGTGGTGCAGCTTCTTGCCACTAGGCCACCGGAGCTCCCTTGAAATGATCCTAGAACAGTGGGGGAAAATAGTATAGGAAAAAATAGATAATTATAAATAATATTCACAGCTTAATGAATAGTAATCTATCACTAGTCATTAAGGAAGACCTTCAATGAGATGTGACAATAACTACAGATTTGAACATGACAGAGATCTTGAAGATCGCTCCATATGGGACAAGGGACATATCTACTGTTCTTGATACCACTATGAGTAGTAGTCAAGGCCATGGTTCCTAAAAATAGCATCAATGTTTGTTTCTCAGTGTTTATAAATATACTCCTGGGTAAACAAAGTGCTAGTATTTGGGAAAGTAGGAGGCCTGGTAGCCAAGAGAATAAGGAGTTATAATTTTGGGGTTCAATAATATAAGGGGTTCAAATTCACCAGCTGCTCCACAGGAGAAGGATGGGCCATCTCCCCTCCCTGCCTGAGGGTCAGGTATGAGTCAGTTCTGACTGGGTATATAACAAGAAGTGAGGAGTGTACTAGAACTCTCTAGAATAAACTTGCAGTATCTCTGTAAATCTAAAACTACTGCAAATTAAAATACTACTTTAAAATAGTAATTGAAAATATTTATAAAGTAATAAAAATCATTGTATGATCCATGCTAGTTATTTTATCTCTAAACAGTTATTCTTAATGTAAAGTTAGATGGATATGAAAAATAATGCAATGTTTTTTAAATAACAGTAAAAACTGAGAAGTACACAAAATAATCAATAGTAAGGTATTTGTTCACAGCGTCAGATTGCTTGGCTCCACAGTCAACACTCTCGGCACCAGTAGCCAGGAAATTAGAAGACATATTGCCATGGGAAAGTCTGCTGTTAGGGACCTTTCCAACATACTGAAGAGCAATGGTGTCTCTTTGGAGACTAAGGTGCGTCTGATACACTCTATTGTCTTTGCAATCACTTGTTATGCATCAGAGAGTTGGACAATGACTAAGGAGGATAGAAGGAGAATTGATGACTTTGAGCTGTGGTGCAGGAGAAGAGTATTGAGGGTACCATGGACTGCTAGGAAAACAAATTCCAGATTCATCCTGGAAAGGGTCAAACCGGGCTGCTCCTTGGAGGCAAGGATTCTAAGGCTCCATCTAACATAGTTTGGACATGTTGCAAGGAGGAACAGGTCCTTGGAGAGGGACATCATGCTTGGTAGGGTGGAGGGACAGCACAGAAGGGGAAGGCCCCTTGTGAGGGGGATTGACTCGGTGACTGGGGTAATCGGGATGGGGGTATCTGAGATGGTGCGATTGGCACAGGACACAGCAGAGTTTAGGGATGTTGTACGTAGTGTCACTATGAGTCTCAAGAGACTCGATGGCACTTAACAACAAGGTATTTGTATAAATCTGACTCCTTCAGGTAAATGTGGTTTGATATTGTGAAATATGAATTAACAATATAAATTCACAAAAGGTGAAGTATTCCCACTATATGTTAAATGAAATTATGAAAAAAAATTTACTGTTCTTTTCT